TAGCAGCTGCCGTTCCTTCAGGATACAGGTGAAAAAGCCAGTACGCTGTTTTTCTGAATCTTACTTGGAAATGAATACCAGCTTCCACTGCAAGTCACCACCCCAAGGCAAATATAAGACCACAAATACGGAGGGTTTTGCTCATACTGCAGGATCTCTTCAGTCGTTCCTTGTCTGGGTAATCTGCTGCCTGTGGAGGGACAGAGTGAAGGGAGCCTCGGGTTGTGGCCTTCACCCTTATGTGGCACTAGCTACGGGTGCTGCTGCGCCTTCCTCACACAGGTCTTGATTTCTAACCAAAACCAAAGAATAACAAACATGAGAGCCCACCACCCAGACTAGACGATGCTTCTTCAAAAACAAGGGTGACTGAGGAGTGTAAATCACCATCCCAGGTACTGGCTAGTGCATCCTTGATCCCAGGGGGTGGTGGTTTCCTCTTAGATGATTCTGGGGTGGTGATGGAGAGGTATCTGCCTCCATTGCTGAGATGGTCCCATTTGGGGTCCCACATTGTCTTGGCATGCTCCCCAGTCACTGAAGAGTGGGTGGGGAGCAGGGCTCCATTCCTTCTCCTATTCTTACTTACTTCCTCCATGATCAGGTTTGAGAAAGCAGATCACAGTATCTGTAGGTGTTGTATAGGGGGTTCTGGTTCCATGACCCATTGCATAGATGCCCTGCTGCAAGGACAAATCCAGCACCTAACTTTTAGCAGGATTTTCCATTAGCAGAAGAGCCAGTGAAGCCTCTATGGTTGTGTGACTTTGAGTGGGTTTCTCTGTCTATTCTCTTTCTCTAATTAAGGTTTGAGCTGACACAGGATTGAGCTTTCTCTCACCTGGGCAGCTTGAGTCCACTAGACTTGAAAAGGTCCAGACTATAATACATCCCACCTCTCTGCAAATACTTGTGGTGCAGACATCATCGGCTGGTTAAGTGCTTCTGGCTGCTTTTGCAGTCAAGGGACAGGAAGAGGCAGATTGACAGCACAATTCATCTCACCCTAAGGATGTCCAAAACAGGTCAGGTGAGTCACACTTTGAGAAAGTCTCCTTGGAAAGAGAAAGGAGGCTTTGGGTGAACAAGACTGATTGGTCTGGTATTGGTGTTGCTCAGAGAGGGAGTTGGACCTTCAGAGGTCCCTTCCGACTAGCATCTCCATGATGCTATGGCTAGCTGTGAAGCAGGCACAGATGTCTGAGACAAACAAAGGGAGATAAATCCTATCCTACAAAGCACCCTTAAACTCCTGGCTTACCCCTCTGAGGAACCTCCTGTTATGTTCTCTTGGCAGGTCTTTGCTAAGGGAGGAGGCCCCCTGGCATAAAACACACAGCCACCACCCAGGAACCCCAAAGCAGCTCAGTAGAGCTCTACTGCACACCCGGCAAAAGATACAACCCACACGAGAGCTACGTGGGCTATTAGGATTTCATCTCTTGTTGAACAACCAGCTGCTTAAAGAGTCTCATTAGCCACAGAAACCGTTAATTATGTTAAAACTCCTGGTGATGGCATCGTGTGCTTGGGGACATGTATCACAAACCCAAGAGTGAACTAAATTACTCAGCTGATAAATAGGCTGTGGAAGCATAGGGGAGCTTGAGCTGATTTAGAGAAGCATATTTGTAGGTTATTCAAGCACAGAGAAAAGGCAGACAACACTTAGCACACACATAGCTCCTGTTTTTTAAAATTATTGATTGTTTCAGCTTCTCAGTGCTGATGGGGTAAATATTACTCCTGTGTAACTAACATGGAGGAATTTACACGAGCAAGAACTTCTTCACTCTGAGGGTGATGGAGCCCTGGCCCAGGCTGCCCAGGGAGGTTGTGGAGTCTCCTTCTCTGGAGATATTCCAGACCCGCCTGGACGCGGTGCTGTGCAGCCTGCTCTGGGTGACCCTGCTTCAGCAGGGGGTTGGGCTGGGTGACCCACAGAGGTCCCTTCCAAACCCGATCATGCTGTGATTCTGTGAAACTATTCTGCAGAAAGTTGCAGAGATGTGTGCAGACTCACACAGACGCTGGTGACAGAGCTGGTGCAGAAGTTTGTGATTGCTAAATCCATGCTAAGTAGAGTTGGGAGTCTTTTTTCAGTTGACGAATTTACTTAACCCTTAAAAGTATAATCAGACAACAGTCACCCAACAGTGTAAGTCACCCAACGGCAACTTCTTGCAAATTCATGTCAAATAGAAAATAAAAATCAAAACATTTGCATATGTTTGGAAGAAAATAGAACACTTATTCATTTAATTTTGCTGTGACAGTTCATTTTTAAATGTATCTGTATCTGAGTACTCATTTTTTAATGAACGTCCATTCATCCTTTTCTTAAATTGAAACAATATTTTTCCCTTCCATCGAAAGGGATTTTTGTTTCTCACCAGTGTTTCATTTTCATTTAAAACGTGTATAAAGGTATAAGTTGACCCCAAATCGTTTCACGGAAGTTTGTCTAACAAGCAAGCAAAATAGCCATTCTACTTAACCATTTACAGCCTTCTTTTCAAGCTGAACTGGCCCCAGCGTATTTCAGTTCGTGGACTCACAGTGAACTTTGTTGGTTTCTCTGAGTTTCGGACCTATCTCCTCAGCTGTAAAATCAGAGATTATTCGTTGCAGAAGTTTCTGTTCTACATCTAGGTGGCACTGAATGATTCTCATATTTGAATAGGAAATTGCAATTAATAAAAGGGGGGGTGAAATCAAAGGCAGCATATTTTGTAGTCATAAAATAAAGGAACTTTTGCTGTGTTTATATTATATATATAATACAGCAGGAAGTAAAGATCAAAGCCGCGTTTATAAAGAACTGGGCAAGTTGTGTGCTCGGAGGAAGCAAATGGGTTCACGGGAGGTGCTTAAAGAATGAGGTCTGGATTTTTAGCCGGTGTAAATCAGTGTGTCCTTTGACTTCAGTGCAAAGGTAACGATTTACATCAGCGAGAAGTTGGTTCAGGAGTTGCAAGGGAGGACAGAGAGGGTAAAACACACAAAAAAAGAAACGAAAATATTTTTTCTACTGAAAAGTATTTGCCTGATGTTTGTTCTCTATTTCCAAGGACTGGGAATAACTCAGAGGAACAGGATCCCAATTCCCAGCTTCGTTAGCTGTAAGGTGTAAAGATGTGAGTGAGGTTCGGAGCTGGTTCCTGCAAGGAGGCGAGTGTCAGGCTGGGGCTGCCCAGAGAGCTCAGCCTTCGGGTACCGGCATCTCCCTGAGCCCCACAGTTCCCAAACTATTTATTTGCAGGCTACAATGATCCCCCAAGGCACCTGCTCAATGAAAGGGAAACTGAGGCATGGTCAGATGGGGTAGTTAATCTCTGGTCTTGTAGAGCAAGAAGTTCTCTGCAGCCTTACCGCTCCCTGCCTGAGTTATAGCATGAAATTCTGAGCTCACAGAGGGTGAAAACTCTTCACAGCAGCAATTTCACCCCCGTGGAGAGCTGAGATAAACTCACCAAATACCACCCTAACCTAGAGGGAGAAGCTGGAGAGAAGAAGTACAAGATGGTGCAGCAGCATGGTGAGACCCAGACACCCACAAGCCTGATCCAGCACCCTAGGGACACCTCAGCTCCCATGGCACCGTCGGTCCGGGTGAATTATCCCACAGGAGGGCGGCTGGGGGCTGAGTGGCCTTAATGAAGTGTCTGACAGCCTTGGGCTCTGGGTGTCCCCGGGGGGACAGCTACAACGCTGGAGGGAGATCAAAACCTCAGCAGGTCAAAAGGAGTCCTGTGATCATGGTGCTGTTTTCATTGACCTGAGAGGCAGCCTCGAGCAAGAGGATTTTGAAAAATCTTGAGAAAAAGTGCAGAACCAGCTCTAATGTTTCCCCGGCTGCAGGGTTATGCGGACACAAGTCCCCGGTGGACGTGGATCCCACCCAGCAGATGGAGTGGCGGACTCCCCTGCTTTGCTGAGCTCCGCACAAAGGCCATCGTCAATATTCAGAAGTTAATTTAATCCCTTTTTTTCCCCCCCTAGGTTTAGCTGCACCACTCCAGAGGGTTAATCGGGTCCCTTGAGTTGGGTGCCTGTTGTTAGATGAGGTGGTGATGAAGGGCATGGGCCGCGGGTAGCACTGGTGCTGGAAGGGGACGTTGCTTTGGACATCACACCTCCCCGGTGGGCTCCGTGCCCGCACAGCGTCCTCTGCACGCAGAGGGCTACATCCTTCTCACCCGGGCAGACAACTTGCCAAAACTTTAGAGCACAACCCAGAAAGGCAACCCCAAACAAGCACCCAGTGACCAGAAGCTAAGGGCACAGCTCCTGCGGGAGGTGGGTCAGTCCCGGGAAATCACCCAGGAGCATCACCCTTGCGGGTAAGACCTGGTCCCGCTGCAGGTTCCTGCACAACATTGGCATCCCGGGAAGTTGGTGGGACTTTGAGTTTCAGACTCTGACAACATCCTCGGGGGGATCAAACCTCACTCCTCTCCAGCACCGTCACCAGTTCACAGCAGAGGTGGGAACCCTGGGCCCACAGAGGCAGATCCAGGTGCCGTCCCCCAAACTGGGAGGAAGCGAGCCGGGGGGCAGGGACAGCAAAGCTCTCTGGAGATCGCTGTGCCGTAATTACAGCCTGTTAGCAACAGAGCTGCTTCCTCCGCAGCCTGAACTTCATTAATTAATGTGCTGAATGCAGAATGAATTAATTAAACCAATTATTAGGCTGCTATTTTATTCATTGCTTTGATTGATTATATGACTGATTAATAAATATTGAATAAGTGTTAATTAATTCAATTAATTCGTTGTTGGTTTATTCCCCTATAATTCAGTTGCCTATCCCTCACCTCCATGCATGAGTTGTGTCCTGAAAGTTTGTCCCAAAGAGCAGGTTCCCGGGGGCTCTGCCGTGGGCAGCGGGGCTGGGATGGGGGACGGGGTCACTTACCGAAAGGCAGAACGAAGAAGAAGGGGAACCAGCAGAGGATGAAAACACCCACGACGATGGCGAGAGTCTTGGCCGCTTTTTTCTCACGGGAGAACTTGAGGAGCCTCACGGAGAGGGAGCTCCTGAAGTTGTGCCCCTTGCTCCGGGTGCTGGAGAGAGTCTCCTCCAGCACGCTGCGGCAGTGGATGCGCAGTACCACCTCCATGGATTTATTCCTCTCCTTCTTGACCCCGGCCTCCAAGCTCTGGGTGGTCCGCCTGGCCACCACATAGATCCTGAAGTACATCACCAGGATGACCATGAGGGGCAGGTAGAAGGAGAAGAGGGATGAGAACAGGGCATAGCCCGGCTCCTCTGTGATGCTACAGATGCTCTCATCTGGCGGCGGTGGCTCCTTCCATCCCAGCAGTGGCCCAATGGAGATTACCATGGAGGAGAGCCAGACCACCACAAGGATGACCCCCGCCTTCCTCTCGGTCATGATCGTGGGGTACTTGAGGGAGTATTTGACGCCGATGTACCTGTCCACGGAGATGATGCACAGGCTCATGATGGAGGCGGAGCAGCACAGCACGTCCACGGCTGCCCAGATGTTGCAGAAGATGCGTCCAAACACCCAGAAGCCCAGCACCTCCAAGGTGGCCGAGAAGGGCAGCACGGTGGTGCTGAGCAGCAGGTCGGCGATGGCCAGGTTGACGATGAAGTAGTTGGTGACTGTCTGCAGGTGCCGGTTGCAAGCCACCGAGAGGATGACGAGGATGTTCCCCACGATGGCTGAGAGGATGAAGACGGCCAGAAAGACCCCGATGCCCACCGTCTGCGCGTCCAAGGCGAAAGTCAGTGTGGTGCCGTTGCCCTCGAGGGTCTCCTCACCTTGCAGCCCCCAGGACCAGTTGGCTCCACCCTGGCTGCCCTGTCCCGTCCGGTTCCCACTCAAGCTGCCATTGCTCAGCTCAGGGAAAATCATCGTAGAAAAGGTCCGGGCTCCATGGAGGGCGAGGAGAAAGCGACGCCGAGGCGCAGCCCCCCCGGCATGATCCTCGCAGCCCCCTCTGAGACTTGTTCAGCACCTCGTTCCCTCCCCAAACTCCCCGCTCTCCGCCCCGGGGGCAAGGCTCGGGTCCTCAGTCGGGATGGAGGGATGGAGGGGTGGAGGAGTGGAGGGATGGAGGGGTGGAGGAGTGGAGGGATGGAGAGGTGGAGGGGTGAAGGTGTGGAGGGATGGAGGGATGAGGGGTGGAGGGGTGAGGGATGGGGGGATGGAGATGCTCTGCAAGGCTGGAAGGTCTCCCCAGCTCCAACATCCCACCAGGAGGGTGCTCTGCAAGGCTCGCAGGTCTCCCCAGCCCCAGAAACCCACCAGGAGGGTGCTCTGCAAGGCTGACAGGTTCCCCCCAGCATCCCACCAGGAGGATGCTCTGCAAGGCTGGAAGGTCTCCCCAGCTCCAACATCCCACCAGGAGGGTGCTCTGCAAGGCTCGCAGGTCTCCCCAGCCCCAGAAACCCACCAGGAGGGTGCTCTGCAAGGCTGACAGGTTCCCCCCAGCATCCCACCAGGAGGATGCTCTGCAAGGCTGGAAGGTCTCCCCAGCTCCAACATCCCACCAGGAGGGTGCTCTGCAAGGCTCGCAGGTCTCCCCAGCCCCAGAAACCCACCAGGAGGGTGCTCTGCAAGGCTGACAGGTTCCCCCCAGCATCCCACCAGGAGGATGCTCTGCAAGGCTGGAAGGTCTCCCCAGCTCCAACATCCCACCAGGAGGGTGCTCTGCAAGGCTCGCAGGTCTCCCCAGCCCCAGAAACCCACCAGGAGGGTGCTCTGCAAGGCTGACAGGTTCCCCCCAGCATCCCACCAGGAGGATGCTCTGCAAGGCTGGAAGGTCTCCCCAGCTCCAACATCCCACCAGGAGGGTGCTCTGCAAGGCTCGCAGGTCTCCCCAGCCCCAGAAACCCACCAGGAGGGTGCTCTGCAAGGCTGACAGGTTCCCCCCAGCATCCCACCAGGAGGATGCTCTGCAAGGCTGGAAGGTCTCCCCAGCTCCAACATCCCACCAGGAGGGTGCTCTGCAAGGCTCGCAGGTCTCCCCAGCCCCAGAAACCCACCAGGAGGGTGCTCTGCAAGGCTGACAGGTTCCCCCCAGCATCCCACCAGGAGGATGCTCTGCAAGGCTGGAAGGTCTCCCCAGCTCCAACATCCCACCAGGAGGGTGCTCTGCAAGGCTCGCAGGTCTCCCCAGCCCCAGAAACCCACCAGGAGGGTGCTCTGCAAGGCTGACAGGTTCCCCCCAGCATCCCACCAGGAGGATGCTCTGCAAGGCTGGAAGGTCTCCCCAGCTCCAACATCCCACCAGGAGGGTGCTCTGCAAGGCTCGCAGGTCTCCCCAGCCCCAGAAACCCACCAGGAGGGTGCTCTGCAAGGCTGACAGGTTCCCCCCAGCATCCCACCAGGAGGATGCTCTGCAAGGCTGGAAGGTCTCCCCAGCTCCAACATCCCACCAGGAGGGTGCTCTGCAAGGCTCGCAGGTCTCCCCAGCCCCAGAAACCCACCAGGAGGGTGCTCTGCAAGGCTGACAGGTTCCCCCCAGCATCCCACCAGGAGGATGCTCTGCAAGGCTGGAAGGTCTCCCCAGCTCCAACATCCCACCAGGAGGGTGCTCTGCAAGGCTCGCAGGTCTCCCCAGCCCCAGAAACCCACCAGGAGGGTGCTCTGCAAGGCTGACAGGTTCCCCCCAGCATCCCACCAGGAGGATGCTCTGCAAGGCTGGAAGGTCTCCCCAGCTCCAACATCCCACCAGGAGGGTGCTCTGCAAGGCTGGAAGGTCCCTCCAGCCCCAGCATCCCACCAGGAGTGTGCTCTGCAAGGCTGGAAGGTCCGTCCAGCCCCAGCATCCCACCAGGAGGGTGCTCTGCAAGGCTGGAAGGTCCCTCCAGCCCCAGCATCCCACCAGGAGTGTGCTCTGCAAGGCTGGCAGGTCTCCCCAGCCCCAGCATCCCACCAGGAGGGTGCTCTGCAACGCTGGCAGGTCCCCTCTCTTGCCCTGCATCCAGGGCTTCCAGCAAGCATCCCTCCCATGCTAAGCCTGGTCCTCCCATCCTGGAGCTGCAGCCCAGGTGTCTGCACGAGGTGCCATCATGGGCTGCTCGTCTCTAGATCCTTCCAAAAGCAGAAGAGACAACCAGTGTCTTGCATCCAGGGACAGTGTGTGATCAGCAGCTCTGCAGCTGTGACTTAACCCTGCTGCAAGACTTGAAAATGGCAGCTTGGGTTTAAAACATATAGGCGCATATTTCTGGCTAATTTAAACAGGGTTGGTTTTTTTCCCACTGATACAAGCAGATCCTGTTTACACTGGTTTCTTCCCAGTGACCCCACTCTCCTGCCTCCATACGTTGCAATGGGACTGACCCCAGTGTTGAACAGGGGCTCTCCCTCGGCTCCTTTCTGCTGTATACAGGAAATATTTCACTGGAGTGTGTTTATCCACGATTATTCAACTTTTCTTTCTTAAATAATGAATTGAAAGGGCAGCCCAAGTGGACAGTGTGGTGATTCAACTGCTGTTCTGTCAGAGCCTGGGAGATCTGTTGTTGATTCACTGGGTATGAGAGTGGACAAAAAATTGTAAAAGTACATTTATTCCCTTATTTTCCTTGACAATTGTTGCAGGAAAATGACACATTCTTGATCTTCCTTATTTCTTTCATGCACTTTTCTCTTCTTTGAGATTTCTCCCGCCTTCCTAGAGCTGGGTTTTTGACCCTGCTGGGAACAAGCAAAGTAGAGCAACTGGAAAACACAAGCAAACAGTAACAAATACTATACAAGAAAAATGTTCAAAAGGATAGTTTTGCCTAAAAAAAAACACCCCACCCAAACCAAACAAACTCTTTAAATTTTGTTTAATGTGAATTAAAAAAAAAAAAAAATCCCAAACACCCAACACTTGAGGTCAAATTACTCATATTCCTTATGTTTTGATGAAAACATGTCAGCCACCAAAATGAAGTGCTGGGATGCTAAACTCAACATGGGATGATCTCAACCCATGGAATTTTGTAGCTGTGTCTTTGCAGCTACACAGATTGCTGTCTAGATAAATATATCTCATCTAATCTATCCAGTGACACACAGAGATAAAGAAAACGTGCCTTTCTCCAAAGCTAAGGCTGGACTGAGCTTCTCATGTACAGTGCAATTTTAATCACCTTTTTGATCAGAAAAGAAAGGTTCCTCCCAAATGACATGATAGCAAATGCTGTTAGGGTGAAGGTTGCATCTGCCCTGCGTCTTGTCCTCCCTGCATGAGCTCCGCTCATCTCCTGACCTCTCCGAAGACAACTTGCCCACTTGGCTGACAGGCTGGAGCTGGCTTGAACCGCAGGGTTCGAATGGGACTCAGGGATGGGATAGCTGAGCTGAAGCTGCACCTTTTGATGGGAGTAAGGCTGGGGCTGCCGCCTCATGTGCTGCTCCAGGCTGACCGACCTGCCCCAACCATGCATAAAACCTTTGGGATTGCACTGATGCCTTTGACCTCCCAACCAGGGCAGGGAGAGAGCACATCCTGTGCCACCACTGCAGCTCAGCTAGCCAACATCAACTCATGAAGATCCAGTTAACTCATTGCTTTGCATCTGTCTCCTTGTTTCAGACTAAAACAGGGTTATTATGGTGAATTTAAACTAACGAGGAGCAGGTTTATACTAACACACTTCAACGCAAATAAAAGTCTTCGGGCAGGTCTGCGTGGAAGAACTGCAGGGCTTGAAGTAAACACACACGGAGATCTGCGTGCGCCTGGGACCTTGCCAATCTGTTGGGCTTGGGCTGGAAGGAGGTACAGTTCCTTCCCCTCTTGGCATGTTTTATCTCTTTCCTACCTCTTTTTTACCCTTTTGGGGCTGAGTTTATCCTAGGACTTGGGTAGTGCCATATGGTGGTGTGAACAGGGCTGTTTAAATGCAAAGAAAGACACATACACCTGATAAACAGTGTTAATCAAATATTATCATAGAATCACAGAATGTTTGGGGTTGGAAGGGACCTCTGTGGGTCACCCAGTCCAACCTCCCTGCCAAAGCAGGGTCACCCAGAGCAGGCTGCACAGGACCTTGTCCAGGTGGGTCTTGAATATCTCCAGAGGAGAATCCACTATACCTGAGAGATGGAGAAACCATTATACCTGAGTCTTGAAAAAGGAAAGGCAATTTTTTGGTGCAAAAGACCACAGTTTAAAGGAGTTTGATCAACATTTGCAATTACTCCAGGTCTATACAGGGCACATCAAGGAGAGCTGTGCCTTGGTTGCACCCTTGCTCTGCAAAGCTGCGGTGCGGCTGCCTGCAGAATCTCCCGGGTCCAGAGCTGGGAGGGATGGTTCCCGGTCACATTCAATGAGGAATAGTGCTGGAATGATAACATTTAAGTGATTGTAAAGATAGGCTTGCCTTGCTGAGGGCATGTGATTCAATGATCCTCTAGGAAGCCGGGATCAGTCTTCACCGTGTGTCCCTCTGAAGCCGTATCCAGCTGGAGGCTAATTAGCTCTGCTGGCTCCTGTGTCCAGCTGCCCCCAGGTCTTCAAGAATATTAAAAAAAGGGGTAAAAGTGATTGAAGGAAATGATTCAAACATTTACTGCCATCCTTTGTGGCGTCCAGCATGGTGCTCTTCAGAAATTCCAGAGAAGCGCAGTAATTGGGAGAGGTAACGGGTAAAACACGGACTGGACATTGCCAGAGAGCATTACAGTTGTGGGGGATTTTTCTTTGCATTGAGGTGAAGGGACGAGGGGTGGAGTGTTCATAAACTGACTGCCTTTGTTGGTGTGGTGATGATGTTGTTTAGACCAGTGCGGGAAGTCTTTTTGTTGATGTAAGTCAGGTTTGTGAAGGTTGTGTGATGAATGTGTATTTTAATGATATTGTTGTGTTGTCGCAATTTTAGATGAAAACTAGGAAAAATCAGGCT